AACTTTTGTCAATATCTGATCTTAATAAATTTACAGTTTTCTCCTGATTAAGTCACAAAATTGTCACTAAATATTGAGATATACAACAAATAAAGTTTTAATATTTTTTATTTGTAATTCCCATTTAAATATTTATTCCCGAAATATGTTGTGTACTCCGATCCATATACTTGATCTTTGTTATTTATATTTAACGAATTAAACATTGACAGACAATTTTTGTATATAGCAAAAAGTAGATGAGAATTTAGTTTTTTCATAATTTAATGTAAGTTTGTTTGGTGAAAAAGACAGCAAATATTTGAAGTTATGTTAATGTAAGTTTGTTTATTTGCAATCATGTTTTTATTTTTAAATCTTGTTCTGTTGTAATTTTAATATTTCCCAATTGTGTTTATCGTATTATATTGAAATTTGGAAGATACTGCGTCATGCACCAATGTTTTTCTTTTTTTTTTTGACAATAAGATTATCTTCAAAATGTAGTTCACAAATCCTATAACTATTATAAAGTATATCCATTTTTAACAATAAATCTTCTCGTCTGCAAGCTTCTATCCACATTTTGGCACTACAAATTTTAAACAGAACAAATTTTAAACAAAGAATTTTTTGTATTTATAAATAATACTTCATTACTTACAACTATAAGAGTATTAGTATATTCTAAGTGTATTGTAAGTAATGAAGTATTTAACTTTTGTCAATATCTCATCTTAATAAATTTACAGTTTTCTCCTAATTAAGTCTCAAAATTGTCACTAAATATTGAGATATACAATAAATAAAGTTTTAATATTTTTTTTTGTAATTCCCATTTAAATATTTATTCCCTAAATATGATGTGTACTCCGATCCATATATTTGATCTTTGTTATTTATATTTAACGCATTAAACATTGACAGACAACTTTTGTATATAGCAAAAAGTAGATGAGTATTTGAATCACGTATTTCAGAAACCCCAAAAATCACAAATTTATGAAATTACAGTTTTCTGTAATTTTTGGTAGTATATAGGTATACGCACTTAACAGTAAACAGAAACCCCAAAACTCACTAAATTTACATACATTTGTTGCCAGATGAAAATTTCATGTATTGCAGAAACACCAAAACTCCAGGAATTTTGGTGTTTCTAAAATATAATATTTGAACACACTGATTTTTGACATGACAGGTTTTTGTTTTTGAGGTTATGCACATTATTTATTTGTGATCTCTACATATGGTTAGTTGTTATTACAGTAAAAATTAATAATAATTTAAGTAATGGAAATTGAAAATCAGTCTTCAACGCGCAAAAAAAAGCGTGGAATACGTAATATCAGTGAATATAAAAGAGAAGTTATTAAAAACTCTAGAGTTAAAGGGTCTGCCTATAAACGCTGGAGTGGTGTCTTGGCGCCTGAAGTGAACCAAGGACCAGACTGCAAGTAAGCCTTAAAACTTTAAAATATTACTAACTAGCTAGACAATATCTAATATTTTATTATCGTAATTTGAATGATACTTATTTTTAGATGTCGCCAAAAATGCTTTTTACAAATTTCTGAAGAAGCACGCATTCAATTATTCCGAAACTTCAGGAGCCTTAACACCAAGAACGAACAAGATTGTTTGCTACAATCGCTTATTTCAGTCCATGAAGTTGCACGTCGAAGGCGCAAAAAAACAGCTGATATTTCTTGCAAGCCTGATAGACTAGCTTCTTTTAAATATACAATTCAGGGACCAACAGGTACAAATAAAATCTGTAGAAAAGCTTTTATTGCCATTTTTGGCATTACTAATGATCGGTTGCGTCGCTTAACCACGTTAAGACGAGAGGGGCAAGTTCCTATAGATAAACGAGGTAAAAATAAATCTGGCAATGCGAAGTCAGGACTTGTTATAGATTCAATCATACAACATATTGCTTCGTTTCCGGTCAAAACGGCCCATTATACTAGTAGAGAATATAGGTATCTAAATGAAAAATTAAATATTTTTATAATGTATAAGTTGTTTAAAGAGGTTCACCCAGAACAAAACGTTAAATATTCATATTATCAAAAGATTTTTAAAGAACAATTTTCATTATCTTTCGGTCGCCCACAAGTCGACACCTGCTCTACATGTGAAGAGTTAGAAACTAAAATAAAAAGTAAATTCTTAAATGAAACAGCAAAAAGAGTGGCACTGGCAGAAAAAATGGTTCATAAGAAACGGGCAAACAAATTTTATAACAAACTTAAAACCATTTCAGAACTTTGTAAAGTAGATAAGAATGTAGGTGGTATTTGCATTGATTATATGCAAAACCTGCAACTACCAGTTATTCCTGTCCAGGAAACATTCTATTTAAGACAACTTACTGTTAATGTTTTATGTATTCATAATCTGAAAGATGATAAGGTAACATTCTATGTGTATCATGAGGGAACAGGAACTAAAGGGCCTAATGAAGTTGTATCATTTTTATTACATTTTCTTGACAACAATCCAGAATTTAAAAATATTAACCATTTTCACTTCTTTTCTGATGCATGTGCCGCCCAGAACAAGAACCATACAATAGTTAGACTTTTTTCTGCATTAGTTTCAACCAATAGATTCAAAAAGATTGAACAATATTATCCCACACGGGGACATTCATTTCTACCGTGTGATCGGGATTTTTCCGTTCTTAAAAGGAAAATTAAAAAATCAGACAGGATTTATACCTTAAAAGAGTATGTAGAGCTTATCATAACATCTAACAAGAGTTTAAACCGATTTACTGTAGTTTTGCCGAATTCTGATGACATATTGAACTTTAAAGGATGGTGGCCCACGTATTTTAAAAAGACAATGCTCTCCAATGAATCTTTGGGCAGAAATATCCCAAGAGATCAAAAAATTGCTTTTAAAATATCCAACTTTTGACACTTTATTCATTCGAGTGATCACGATGGAATTGTTATTGCAAAAGAGTACATAGATGGCTTGATACATCATTCTTTTCGGCTACGAAATAGCAACAAGGATGTTATTAGTTTCCCTACCAGAAAAGCGTACACCGAAGGACATATTCCTATTAATATCAAGAAGATGCAAGACTTGAGAAAACTGGAAAAGTATCTACCAGATAATGAAGAAGTCAAGGACTTTTACGGAGAAATTTTTAATTTGCCAACATGCGAGGGAGATTCAAATGAAATAATACAACCAGATGAGTGATTACTACTGATATATTATTCTGTATGCCCATATTTTTGAATAAATGTTTATATAAAACTTGTTTTCTTATTTTTACATCTTTGAAAAATGTGTATATTTCAAAAACCCCAAAAATCCACAAAAGTAAAAAAGGAAAAAAAAACATAATATAAAGCTAAAATTCACCACTTTTTATGCAAACTGATTAAAACACATTAATCTCATGATTTTATTACAAAAGCACAACAGGTTTTTAAAAATATTTCATGAAATAAGGTTTTTTCTAATTTCTCAACATTTTATAAAAATGGAATTATGGGGTTTCTGAAATATGTGATTCATTTAGTTTTTTCATAATTTAATGTAAGTTTGTTTAGTGAAAAAGACAGCAAATATTTGAAGTTATTTTAATGTAAGTTTGTTTATTTGCAATCATGTTTTTATTTTGAAGTCTTGTTCTGTTGTAATTTTAAGATTTTCCCAATTTTCGATCTAATTATGTTTCCAACAATTTTTAGTTTGAGAATTTTAGGAAATTCTTTGTTTCGTTTAAATCAAATATTCTCGTGTTTAAAACCCTCTATATATGTTTATTTCCTAAAAATACTATATTCGTATTGTTGTCTGCGAGCGCTTTCACACCAGTAGGCCAACATCTGTTGATTTTTTGACCTGAGCCTTCGGAGACAATAAATTTAATGTGTGTTCGTAGTTCTCTGGTTTTTATTCTGAACTATCCCTTGGCAGACCAAAATTTATTTTTTTATTGCTTCACTTAACGAGAGCTCGGGCGGATACGTCGGTGTCGGCTTGCTCAAAGTCAAATTAATACTATTATGTAATAACTAATAATAATTACAAAGCAATAGTAAGTACCTGTTATTATTCTTAGGAAATCTAAATAAACTTATTCCTTTTCCTGTCACAGATGAACATCCGCGAAACGCACAACAATAACCAGAAGACATTTTAAATACTTATAAATTAAACTTTTAACTATAAACTATAACTATAAACTTATATATTTAACTTATATATTTTAACTATAACTATAAACTTTTAACTACTAAGTAAATTAGATAAATGGTCAAATGCACTTGTATAGTCGAGAGTTTACCACAGATGCCTACGGACTATCGTAAGCAACTAAAGTTGAAGAAAACGCACGTGTTTTTGACAATAAAGCACCTTATTTGGGTCATGCGTATACAGAAAAGATACACGGATTTCGGGCCTCGTGTCGCTTCTCTGTGTTCGTAGTTCTCTGGCTTTACCAAGAAGCGTATCAGTAGCGGAGAATTTATTTTTTATATACCGTATGGCATATTAAGAACACATAATTAAAAGCAATATTTTTATAAAAAAAACGTTAAATGGAGTAATACAAACGAACATCTAATATATCAATATATTCTAAAACATTTTCGGTCTTATTCAGGAATTCTATCTTCTTAGTTTTTCCTGTTGTTCTGACAATATATTACTCTCCTTTTACTTATTTTGTTTAAATTCCTTTTTGCTTTTGTTCAGTTTCTGGTAAAATTTTATAGTTTCTATTGGCTTACTTAGATCTTATAGTTCTTGAAGTTCTTTGTTCATAGTCTCTCTCTTCTCTCCTCTGCTCATCGGGTTCTGTAACCCTGTTGCATCAATTAATATGCTCTGCTTTTTCCCTCTATTATAATCTGATATTCTTCATCAAAACAGACATTCGTTCTTGTTCGTCTTTGTTTACCTTTCATGCCAGTACTTCATTTATGTTTTCATGTTTTAGTCTGTTTGGGATAATGTCCCATTCAACAACTCATTAATAATATTGTTTAATACTTACTTTGTGCTTCAAACATACATACTTGGGATCCTGAACCACAGATTGGCGTATTTTTAACATCTGGAACATAAAAAAATTATAATAAGAGAAACGTTACGACACTGAGCGGCAAAAAAAGTGGCCAACCTATAAATTTCCGAAAACAAAAATTCAATGGAAGTTTTATGCACTGTTTTATATTGCATCTCAAATTAAATATTTTTGCGATCTTCTATGCTTGTTTTTGACAGTTTCGACGTTTATGGTTCCGGTCGTAGAAGAGTTACCTCGCAAAGAGATGATCGTTTTATTGTGATGGAACTTTTAAGAAATCGCCATTCCACTGCAATTGCTGAAGAAACCGTCTGTGGGAGGTTCAAAATGCGAATGTAAGTGAGAGATTGGTTAGAAGGCTTCTCAATGAAAGAGGTCTAGTGGCAAGAAGGCAGACTATCATTCCCGAATCACAACTCAGACACTGTAGGAATCTCTTAATTTTTTCTCGACAACATTAACACTGGGATATACAGGATTGGAGCTGAATTATCTTTACTGATGAATCGTGGTTCTGTTTGAAATCTGGCAATGGCCAAGAGAGAGTTTGGAGACGGAGAAATGAAAGATATTCCCAAGCTTGTATATCCCAGAGTAAAAAGTTGGGCGGTGATGGTGTGATGGTTTGGGCCTGAATCTCACTTGAAGCTCGAAGTGAACTTATTTTCATAAATGGCCCCCTGAATGCTCACTGATATATAGGGGATGTTTTGGCCGAAGCAGTAGTTTCATTTAGTTGTTTTATTGGGGATAATTTCGTCTTTTCAATTTTGTTTAAGTTCACTCATAATTTTTATTGTTTGTAATTGTTTCGATATTTCACTATTTTCTTTTGTAGACTTCTAATTAAATCAATTATGCTAAGGAATCAAGCAGGAATGGCTATTTTTTGTTTTTAAAATGAAAGATTTTGAGTATACAATATAAAACAGTGCATGAAACTTCAAATGAATTTTTATTTTCGGAAATTTATAGGGTGGCCACTTTTTTTGCCGGTCAGTGGATATTATAGTACTACAAATATAAAAAAAAGAAAGGATTATTGTTATAAGCAATGCGACGGAGAGAAAGCAGCTGAAACTTTAAATGGACTAGCCTCCCAACTGACAACATTGGAAGTGGTTTCTTTACTTTATATCTAAAAAAAGACTATTTTCTTAAAGGCAATAGAATTAAAGTAGCATTATGTTTATTCGTTTTGATTGGCTTCTTTGAAACTCATCTTGCTTATTATATTAAAATGTTGTTTCATATTGCTTGTATACATATATTTAAAATTTTTAAAAATTAAGAGTCGAGCAAGAAGCCAAAATGAGCATATGTTATGCTTTTATTATATATACAACTTCTGGGTACAGAAAAACATAAAATGAAAACGTAAGTATGATCATACAATAAATGAAAATCCAAATAAATACACTACAAAAGAAAATAAAACAAGAAAAGCAACAGCCAAATGAAGACCTAGAATGAATGGACACCCGGGGATGAAACTGAATAGATTCGAGTTCAAAACACAAAAAAAGGAGAGCAAACGACCCAAGAAGACCTTAAGAAGTGTCAAAACAAAAAAATATGACGTAACAATTCTTCTTCTTGATGTGCCTATCCGTTACGAATGTTGGCGATCCTCATGGCAAACTTTATTTTATCTGCAACAGCGCTAAAAAGCTGCACAGATGTTGTATTAAACCAGATTCTGATGTTCTTTAACCAAGATATTTTTCTTCTTTCTGGACTTCGTTTTCCAAATATTTTTCCTTGCAGGATGGCTTGAAGAAGAGCATATCTGGATTCATTTCGCCCAATATGTCCGAAGAATAATTTTAAGTTTCGAGATTTAATAGTGGTCAGTGCCTCTCGGATCTTATTCATTCTTCTGAGGAACCAATCATTTGTGACTCGATCAGTCCTCGGGATATTAAGCATTCTCTGATATAGCAAAATCTCAAATGCTTCTAGTTTTCTGCACATATCTTCGTTCAAAGTTCACGATTCAACACCATTAAAAAGGACAGAGAAGACGTAGCATTGCAGCATTCTTACTTTTGTAGTGACTCTTGAAGTGACTCATCAAGAGAGAGGTTGTGACTCTTGAAGTAGGCCCCAGGTCCGATTGAAGATGGATCTAGCTTTTGACGTAACAATCTCTTCTTCTTTGGGTGCCGTGTCCGTATTCAGACGTTGGCCGTCATCATGCTTACAATTTCCTGAAACCTTTCTTTGTCGGCTGCTGCGCGAAATAATTCTTCTACTGTGAAACCACACCATTGTCTAATATTACGCAGCCATGAAAGTTTCTTTCGACCAATCCATCTCTTTCCTTCCACTTTTCCTTGTATTATAAGGCGAAGTAAATGGTATTTGGGTCCTCTAATTATATGGCCGAAGTATTCTGTTTTTCTCCTCTTTATGATGTTTATGAGCAGACGTTCTGAGTTGATCATTTGAAGAACATCTTCATTGGAAGTGTGCGAAACCCACGATATCTTTAGGATTCGTCTATAGCACCACATTTCGAATGCTTCTAACTTGTTTAGCATTGTGGTTTTTAACGTCCATGTCTCACAACCATACAATAGGATCGACCACACATAACATTTCAGGACCTTCTTACGAATGTTCATTGACAGGTTTCTGTTGCATAAAACTGGTTTCCAGGTCATAAAAGCCTTACGTGATATTTCGATCCTGGATATTATCTCTTCATCAGAGTCACAATTTACATTTAACCAGCTGCCAAGGTATTTGAAATGATTTACCCGACGTAACAATAGTAGTTGCATATTTTTCACCAAAACATAATCTAAAAACAGAAAATTACGTCCAGTTGCTCAACACGTTTCGAGAAAAATTTACCGTTGGTGCAGACTTTAACGCTAAAAGCTGCACATGGGATTCAAGATTAACCAATACAAAGGGAAGAGAATTACTTGCAGCAATAAAAAATATAAATGAAAAATAGCCCTCAACTAATACATCCGCAACTGGTAATCTCACCGATAAAAATAAAACACCAGACTGACTTTTTTATTTGAAGAAAAGTTGCAACAAATTTTATGAAATTAGAAGAAGCTGATGGTCCCAGTTCTGATCACATTATAATACTACTAACAATCAGTGAGCATATTCTAAGAGAAAATAACTTTACCTTAATCAATACCAGAAGGGAATGGAGAACAGAATGAGAAAACAAAATGGAAATGTGTTCGCCTCATGCTTAGAGGCGAATATATTCGAAAATCACTGAAATAAAAAAATCATTAAGCCGAAACGATGATGATGCGAGTACTGAAGAAGATATGAGCAATACTAATCAAGGAATAATGAAGCCCACTACTCCTAAAGAAGTAACCAAAGTAAACAAAAAGAATATCATTGTCGGTTGAACAAAAGCTCAAACTAGTCCAAAACCAAATATTAATGAACATAATCAGCGCATTGGGAACTCCATACAGTAACAGTTAAAGAAGAAATAAAGATGATTTCCAAGGGTCATGAAAACCGACTTTATAACTATACAAACAGGAAAGTCTTAGAACTGCTAGATGATCAAAATCTAGTCCGTAGACTCAAACGCATCAAATCTTTCTAACTTGTGTGATAGTGATACATGTATAAATGTCAGTTTAAATTCAAGCAGTGAATCATAATATAAGGTACATTGTTGGTTTAATAATAAAAAAATTAACCAAAAAACTTACGTGGCATATGGTATGCAATACAACCACATTTTGCTAAAGTGTAATTTGCCAAACACTCAACTTGGCAATTTTGTTGAGTGTAACTTTTATAAAATGTCAAATATCTCTCGCTTGGGAAATAACACTGTCTACGATGCGGATCGTACTCTCGTAAACCTTCTGAGGTAGTCATCATATCAGGCTTGACGGAAACTACAACTTCGTGGTTTAGAGGAGCTCTGAAATATTGCAACTGGACCCTTGGAACCTCCGCTGGATGATGAAGTAGAACCTACCAAAATTAATTAATATTAGTGCTATTATATTATAAAAAATAAGATTATTAATAAAAGTATTTCTATTTGAATGGGATTTGGCAATTTCTACTTTATCTTCATACTAATTTACTTGATTTTTAAACTTTACAACTTTTAAGGTGGATCTGCACCCCCAAAAGACAAACTACACTTTCAAAAAATTTGAGAAGGTATATGTGATAACTAGAAGTATTGTGACAAATTTTAAAAAACCTTCATGTTTTTGTTTTTGAAAAAACTAAAAAATCTACATTTTTCCAAGTATCAAGCGAAAACCAAACATACAATTTTGTTAATTTTCTTACAGCATTAGGATATAATACCAAGAAATACTTTTGAATTTTTTAAAAATTTTTGAATGTAGAGTTTTGCCACAATTATAAACAAAAATAATATGTTCCGGCTTATAATAAAGCTACCGGTAAGAAACCGGACACAATTTTAATAACAACATATATAAAACTGTAAAGTGGAAAATATTTGCAATAAAACGTTGAATATTTTTTCCTAAACATGAAAAATCTCGTTAAATAAGAATTAACTCTTAAACTCCGCCATCAAATGGTGTTGTAGAGAGATTGCTTCATCTGAAACATCGTTATCATCGATAGATAATACTTCGAAAGGCTTCAAACGAAACGTCATGCTAACATGGTTGCCATATCAATAACTTTGTTCAATACTTTGGCAGATTACAACAAAATTTAATAAGAATGTTATCGGTTTGAATTTTAAACTGGCTGAAACTTTTTACTATAGTATAGTATATATAGTATAGTCTATAGTAGATACCTGTACCTTTGTTTTGAAAGTACTATGTCATAAAATTTACAATATACAAGCAATATATCTATTAAAAACCTATTTACTTTTTAAAAACATATTGAGGCGTTTTTAGTTAATTATTTACAAATAAAAAAACAGCAAAAAACAAAGGCAGAAATATATAGAGCAGCAATTAGACGGGTGATATCGTACGGAGCCGAAGTAATGTGCCTTAGAAAAAAAATTATGAGAAAACATGGCCCAATAAAACAAACCAAGAGAATATAGAAGACTAATGCAGCATGAAATAAGAAATATAACCGAGAGGAACACATAGTAAAATTTAGTAATGCACAAAGACTGAGATGGTTTGGATACGTACAAAGAAGCGAAGAAGAAGAAGTGAAGCCATGTTTGCACGTTTTAAATAACATTTTTGACAATTGGCGATTTACCTAAATGTAATTCCCACAACATTTTGTATCAACAAAAATGTAATATACGAGGACAAGTATGAATTTGATGGTAATACGATATTCACAGATATCGCCGCCTAAGTACCTACATAATTTCTTTATTGATAACAGTGTTTAGATAATATGAATAATTTTTTAATGATATGTGTATATGGAACCTTATTTTTCTAATAACAATATATTCCTGCGCAGGCGTAACTTTGATTATTTGGTAAAAATACATTATATCTCACAAAAAATTAAACATAAACCATTAAAACATATTTATTAATAAATTCACTGTATGAATACTATATATTATATTCCGATTGACACTACAGAGCAGTAAAATATTATACATAAAGATGTTGTTAAAGATATCTTCGCTTATTTGGTCTACTATAGTAATAAAGTTATCAGCATCAAATGGTAAAACGTATTTGATAAAATTACTGTCTACACAACTTGGCAACTCACCTAATGGATATAACGATAGAAAACTGTAATTTATGTTAGAATTTGAAAATAGTACACAGTCATCATGTCGAAATATACAATTAAGTTAAAACATTTACCACAGCAGCATGCCGCAGGATAAGAATTTGTCGGTAATTTATCGATCGATTCAAAAAACAACAGCCGTTATGTTTGCAATAAAAACCCTCTCCAAATTATGTGTCATTGAAACCTTTGTTCCATTTAAAAATTTGTAGTGAGTTGCAACCCGCAGTACATTATTCAAGTTACATATCTGTACCTCATAGCAACACTAAATTACTTTCAAATTTTATTTTATTTCTGTGTCAAAAGACATCGCTTCTACTTACTTAATTACTCCCGTCTTCATCAAGTGTGAACACAGAGGCATAACACATCAACAGACCGCCAATATTAACCAACAGAATGACAAACTTCAATGGAACATATTCAATGGTACAAGATTCCACTGCAGAATTACTACGTTCATAGTAGTTAATCAAACTCACATTTTTACATACATTTAAAATACATTGATAATAGGTTGCCAGTCATAAAGTGGTCGCAAATATTTTTAATTCAATTAATACTTAGTAATTAATTTTTGAACAAAAATTTTATTTCGTTCATTTATTTTTTAAATAAAATACGCTGTTGAAAATGTAGGGTAGGGTCGCCTATATTGGACCGGCTCCTAAATTGGACCTTTGCAGATTTGAGCGAACTGACAACAAGTGGTGCTATCCAGTAATACCAACTAGAACTACATCCCGAAACCTGTTAGGGTTTCAACACGTCTGCAACTGTAAACAACGATTGAGAAAATATTAGTGTTTTCCATTGGACCAGCAACTGACTTGTAAATTAGACCGGTTCAATTTCGGCAACCATATTGTAAATCAAACCAGTCCCATTTAGTTCCTGATAGGTTTATTTTTTATTTCAGAATGTCATCATTTGGTAACTACGGCAAGTGGAGAACAGAAGATTTAAGCAGTGTTATTTTAGCTTTTCGTAATGGTTTTTATGGGCTTAATGAATGTGTAAGGTTGTTTAAATTACCTAAAGCTACACTAAAACACATCTCGATGAAAAAAAAACAAACGGGCAAATAATGAAATTTAGTAACTGGCAGGTTTACTGTATTTAATGAAGAATTTGAAGCAGAATTGGCTAAGCATATTTTGATTTCCGAAGAGCGAATGTTCGGGATGGGCATACGAGACGTCCGCAAGCTGTATTTGGTTTTCTCTTCGTTTACCCTTAAACCAGTTTTCTTTGCCTCCGATTTATTAAGAGTCTCCTTCACATTGGTGACTGTGTTTCCTACAATGTCAATGTCATCTGCGTATGCTAGTAGTAATTTTGGTCCATTTACTGTTAGTAATTCTGTAAGTTGTGCTGCTCTTACTACTTTCTCCAGGATGATATTAAAATGGAGAGGTGACAGCGCATCTCCTTATTTCAGGACACTGCTTATTTTGTTTCTGAGAGTTTGTTACCTATCCGTACTCTGGATCTACAGCTATTCACACATAAATTAACAAGCTGGATAAGTTTTTTTGGCTGAAAAGTTCTGAAAAGGCTGAAAAGCTGAAAGTTCTGTCATTGCATTCCGCATCTGATCCCTTTTAATGTAGTCGAACGCTTGACGGAAATCTATGAAGAGATTATGGATAGTTCTATTGAATTCTCATCCTTTTTCAAGTAGCTGTCTTACAGTAAAGATCTGATCGATGGTCTATCTATGTTTTCTGAAGCCGGCTTGGTATTCCCTATGAAATTTTCTACAAACGGTGTCAGCCTACTTAATAGGATGTTCGATAGGATTTTATATGCCGTATTAAGTAGGGAGATGCCTCTATAATTAGAGCACTTGGTTAGGTCTCCCTTTTTATGGATGGGGATTATTACACTTTCGTGCCATTTTGTTGGTTTTTTTTTTTCATTCCATATAAGTGTTATTAGTTTTTGTATTTGTCGGAGTGTCTCCTCCGTACTTAAGGAATTCAGCCAGTATATTGTCAGAGCCTTAAGCTTTGAGCTTTGGAGTCAAGCAAAATAACAGAGACAGACACTTACTATGTTTTATCCGTTTACAAACTCTAGAAGTTGGAGATAGGTACTACAAGAACTTACAATTGTTACTGGACGACAATTTGTAGCAGAAAAAAATATTACAAATGAAAAAAATAATATTACATATAAAATAAATATATTACAAGTGAAGCTATGCATAGAGGTTAACCTTTTTCTAAAAAAAAACAAAGCATAACAAGATTTGTTATGATTAGGTATTTACCAAATGTCAAAAAAAATAAAGTTAGCTTTCAGATGTCAATATTAAATTTTAAAACTGAGAACAATTAATATGACAGCTAGGCCACACCCTAACATCTACAATTTAATTATTACAATTTTTTAAACTGTTATGAGAGCAATTATTATTAGAAAATGTTTATTTTTCCTTTAAAAGTTCAATAAACAAAGTTACCTGGATTTCACTAAAATTTCTTTAAAATTTCTGGTGTTAAGAACTGGACTTACACTGCAAACACAAATGCACCTCCAACATGTAGGTTATCCTTCAAAGTTGTTGTAAACACCACAACTCTCTTAGAGTCTTAGAAACATAGAAACAGTGATTACTCTTTCAAAACTGACACATTATGAGTATAAATGACTTTTTCAGAACAAATTTGCCGGTTCTTAACGCCGACACTCGCCTGCGTCTTTTCTATTCAAAGATTCTCAGAAACCTCCACTGTAACTATACATTTAACTGCTATATACTACCAAACTTTACTATTTCCGATAACAAAAAAAAACAATAGGGAAAAACCATTTAGAATTGGATGAAAATTCGGACCAGCACTGAAGGCAACTGCTTTTGACAGTGGATCCACTGAGAGTTGTGTAATTCTCTTCCCCGCAGAACCTTCTCAGCGATCTAAGTGGATATTTATTTTAGGCGCAATATTAAGCGGAAGCGACTTAAAGAAAATACCAAAGAAATACGCGTCTGTAATATATAAACGAACTTTAAAATGTGTTTATTATCAACTTCAGCAATGCAAAAGGATTGAAAATACTTTTTCGATGTTTTAACATATTTGGGGTTATTTTAATACATAGGAAAGAATATAAAAATGTTACAACCGACTCATGCTTCCAAAACTCACATAACTGACACTTCAAACCAGCAGCGTTGCGAGCTAGCTGTCTTTTACTTTGTATTTGATACCTCGCGTTTTTAACACCTCGCAACCCAAATTTGGACCATTTTTTTCAGGCAACCTTTTATTTTCGCAATAAGAAAAAAATGATCTTTAGTTTGATATAAAAAATATGTACATATACGTCATGAGCATAATAATTTATTTAAAAATAAATGAACGAAATATAATTTTTGTTCTAAAATTAATTATTTCTATTAAGTAAATTAAAAATATTTGCGGCCACTTTTTGATTGGCAACTTATTAATTACCAATGTGTTCGCTTAATTTTAGATATATCTAAGCTTGTGAGCTTGATTAACTTCGTTATGAACGTAGTGATCCTACAGTGCAATCTTAGACTACAATGAATTGGTCTCTGAGTCTGAGTCAATCAACTTAAACCTGCAATTAAATCCACAACTGATGTTGACGATTCAGAACAACCTAACTACGTCAATTCAAAAAGCAGCCCACGCTGCTAGTCCAAAAAGCTCCTATAAAGAACAACCAGGCTCATATCCTAAATATATAAACAATATGATCTGTGAAAAAAGGAAACTAAGAAAAAAATGGCAAAGTACTCGAGTCCCAATAGACAAAACAAATCTAAACAGAGCTAAAACTCAAAGAAGAGCTAAATGAATATAAAGATGCTGGTGTTAACATCCTTTGCAAAATTGTTCCTACTTATAAGTGAAATTAAATACTATTTCACTATGAAAACTGGCAAAGAAACTTAAATCCCAACAACAAACTAAAACTCCTATACGAAAAGACGATTGTAGAAAGGCTCGTAGTGCAAAAATGTGCCAAGTCAATATACAAATTTTAGTTAAGATACCTTGTATATACAAGAAAGCAAGACAGACCAGCTGAAAAAAACATAATCTATGTTTTAAAAAACAGTACAATCTTACCTTAAATCCTTGAACAGGACCTCTACACAAATAATCTAAGTCGGGTTCGTAAGCTTTTAGAACCAAATATAATCCAGCTGAAAGACCAGCAGACATCGCTCGCCTTGGGAAAGTATCTTTTTTGGCTGTTTTTGGATACCCATCTTCCAAACTCCAACCTTCTGAATGTCTTCCGTGAGTCATATATTTTCCATGCAAGTATCTTAAAAAATAATATTTATCAACAACGAGTTATTGAAAGCTGTGTTTTAAACACAACCTTACTGATCCTAGTAGTTAGAGGCGAATATCTGGAAAAAAAGGGCCAAGATTTGTTGAGCAAAAATCTTGTCAAAATATTATTAATCAAATCTTAATAATATGAACATGCGATGTTACTAGAACGTAAGAATAAGGAAAATCACACAACACAAATTTAATAATAAATATTAATACTTTGTTTTTAAGTGAAACTCGTTACGTTTTTCTATGGACTCAAAGATTAAGTGAATCAAACGTGGTTGCTTTTAACTTTATTTCAACTCCAAAAACAAATTCACTAAATTACAAATATCATAAATTCTAGTTAGATACATTAATAATTATCGCTTACAATAAATTCGCATTGATAACAATTCGCTGATCTGATACTAATGTCGCTTACAAAACAATTCGCCGAAACTAATAATGAAAGGTTGCCTCAGCGGGCTTATATAAGAAAAACGAGACGTTCTGGAATAACTTGCTCAGTTCCATTAAAAAGTTCATCGACATCTAAACTGTCGTTACTTTATTTTATTGGGGATATTAAGAATCTGCAAGCCTTGAAACAGAGAGCTTTCCAAGCTGCGTTACTGTTGTGTGGATTACTGCCGGTCGATTTTTTTTCCTTTGATCTTGTACGTTATCTACAATGACTTTAAAGGTTGCCTACCAACCCACAATTGTAACACTTTACTCGCCCTTGACGTTTTTGTTTCAAAATATTTCAAGACATTTCTTAAATATAATAATAAGTTGTTACTTGTTATTTTTTGACTCTATTCATTTTTTTATTGCTTATATATGATTTTTTGTAGCAAATTATCCGAAACATACATTTTGAATTTGCCGCGAAATGTTTTAGTTCATGGCCCGAGCACGAGTGGCACTAGAAATTCTCTCCCTACTTCTTACTATGGGAAACACTATAGATGTATATGCTGTGTTAATTAGTATGTGCTATGAAAATGTTAGCGCCGCGGCGTCTTTAAAATTGCAATGATTATAGCCAACCTCAATATCATAGCGGTAATGGAACTAAAAGAACAAGACTGAAATCGACCAATAAGATTCTTTTTCATTTAAAAGATAGGTCATCATTTTTTCTTTATGGAAACAAAACTTTATTTATTTTTTTTTGCTGGTAGATAATCTTGTTTTTTCACATAAGATTATAGAAACTTGCATGATCAAGAATCGATTAAAAAATAACATTCATAGTGATATTTTCTACAACTATTAATTCGATTTAAGTAATATAAAATAATCAATAAGTGTAGTTGTTAATAAATATAGTAGTTGTTACATAAATAGTAGTTATTACTACCTATAATAAAGAACTGCATTTAAGATCTAAGTTTAACTTACACTCTTTCCCTTAACAACTCAGTCCGATCCAACATGTTAAATGTAAAACACAAGCCGTCTTCAGTCAGCATTGGAGTAAACATATTATCACAACTCTCATTTAATAGAGTCCACTTACAGGAGAAGAATGAATCATCGAACTGTGGTGCGATCTAAAATTAAATTTATCTTAATAGTTATAAAGTCAGTTGTCATCAAACTGATTTTGCACATCTATCAGAAGATAGCTATAAAGTTAGCAAAGAACAAGAAAGCCGTTGGCCCTGATAACATACCGACAGAGATGTTAAAGCTTATAAATGAGAAGAACATTGGAATACTGATCAAACTTTTCAATGATGTGTATTCGACTGGTGATATCCCTGAAGATTGGTTAAAGTCCGAATTCCTAACACTACCAAAAAAACAACGTCCAAAAAACTGTAGCGATTATAGAATGATAAGCCTTATGAGCCACACTTTGAAAATATTTCTACGCATCATCCACAGTAGAATCAGAGATAAATGTGAAGAAGTTCAGGATGAAACACAATTTGGCTTCAGAAATGGACTGGGAACTCGGGACGCCCTCTTTGCACTAAATGTATTACTGCAGAAATGTCGAGACCAAAGGAAAGGCGTCTTTGCTGTATTTATTGACTATAAAAAGGCCTTTGATCGAGTACAGCATCACAAATTAATTACAATATTAAAAGATAAAGGAGTTGATAGTCAAGACATACGATTCATAGAAAAGTTATACTGGCGTCAAACAGCGACAGCTTGCATAAACGGAAAATCAACAGAAATATGTAAAATAGAAAGAGGTGTTAGACAGGGTTGTATACTATCCCCACTGTTATTTAATTTATATTCAGATAGAATATTTAAAGAAGCGCTGCATAATTTGGAATGGGGCGTGAAAGTTAATGGAATTCTGATAAATACAATCAGATATGCAGACGATACAGTTATTTTAAGTGATGACATGAATGGATTACAATGCCTTTTAAATGCCATTGATAAAGTGGGAAGAGAGTTTGGCCTAAACATAAACTGTTCAAAAACAAAACACGTGGTGTTTAGCCGTTTAGCACATCAAGATGCACGATTATATGTTGATGGTCATATAATTCAAAGAGTCTCCAGTTTTAAATATCTTGGTTGCCATATTACTGAACAACTAGATCCAGATCAAGAGATAAAATTTAGAATCGAGATAGCCCGCACGTCATTTTTAAAAATGAGGTCATTCTTCTGTAATGATAACTTGCAACTTCAACTTCGAAAGCGCATGGTTAAATGCTACATTTGGTCAGTCCTCTTATACGGTGTCGAAGCATGCACATTAAAAATATCCACGATTAATCGTCTGGAGGCCTTTGAGATGTGGCTGCACAAACGTATACTAAAAATTCCATGGACGGCTATGCTGACAAATGTGGAATTCTTCAATCCAATGTGGACCAATTATGATGGGTAAAATCGAAGGACGCAGAGGAATTGGTAGAAAGCAGGTTTCTTGGTTGAAGAATATCAGGGAGTGGACAGGAATAAAGAAAGCTGAGCAACTATTTAGAATAGCTCGAGACAGAGACAGTTTCGCCATGTTAATCGCCAACATCAAGGGGACTTGATAGGGCACGTTAAGAAGAAGATCGGAAGATACCCAGGCTCAGTAACAAGTTAATCGTAGCAGTTTAAAATCCAAAATGAATTTGCGACTTAAACTAGATAACTAGATACATACAGAGAGTTGCTACAAATTTGCTTAGCTTCTTCTTCCTCCTCCTTTTGGTCCAGGCGAGACACCTTAATCTCTGGCACTTGGTCATAAGACCTTGTATTATTGTTTAGCTACATATATGCAAAATTGCTTTTATTTGTGTAGTATCTTTTTCAAAAAAAAGCTATAAAGTTTAATTAAGTGTTTCGCCAATTTTGGGACTGTACTATTTATTATAAGGCGATTTTGATACATCACTTGGAAGTCAAATCGTGATTAAAGAATTCCTTATACAATGTATGTGGCATGTTTTGCAGAAGATATTAAAAATAACTACAAAACTGTTTGTAACAAAGTGATTTCACCATTTTGTTATTTAAAAAAGTTACTTACATTCATAAGATATTCAATTGTCTTGAACTCTGTAACATTTTCCCCGGCTGTATATAAATGGTTATCGCAAATTAAACTACTATCCGAAAATCTTTTCATTCTAAAAAAAAAAGAATCAGATTTAAAAAGAGTGATTGAAAATGATTCTAATTAAGCATTACACATTGAACATTAGATGAAACACTGGTTCATTTGAACACTGAGTATTAAAATAAATTGAGAGATTATATATTTCGGGTGATTTGTTTAACTGCATCTTTGACTTTAAGAAACGTTATTGGTTCCCCTTACTTCTCATCTATTTCGCTCACCTCATTTCAGGTTTTCTTCTCTTTCCTCTATATTACATACCTGGTTAAAGTATTCCCTCATTAACTTCAAATGTTATTTTGTTGTTAATAGATCGCCATTCAGACTTCTACATTGGTTTGTAGTTGCCTTGAATTCTTTTTAGTTGAGGTTAACTTTAATAACTCTGAGGCTACCAGAAGGGATCACGGGTGACGGATAGTGGATGACCTTCAGGTATGAAGGTTGTAGCCGTACCTAGGTGCTGATATTCGGTCAGACCATACTCTACTGTGCTCTACAATCACAGTTAGGCTAAAGAGAGTCTGTAAAAATCAGAAACCTCCAAAATATCACTAGATGCATTCCAATACCTATGCACTCTAAATGAGGTTTCTCAAGAACTTAAGTTCAAGGGCAGTACAAATCAATAAGCAGAGAAAAATGCAGTGAAATATATAAAGAAATCCATAAAGTAGCAAAACACCGGTGGCTACAAGAATCCTGTCTAGAAATTGAGAAACTGGAGCAACAACATGACAGTCTTCATCAGCATAAAAAACTAAAAGAATAGCAAAAGCACAATTTTCCAGCAAAATATATTACAAGGGATGGGAAAATTATATAATACAACTATTTAAAGATGACCAAAAAATCTACCAAGAAGTAACATCTAACCAAGATACAGGCCCACCGATTTTAATCTCAGAAGTTTCGAAAGCAATTGACGAAACTAAATGAAGGAAGGCTTCTGGTCCTGACGAAACACCTTCAAAATTATTACAAATATTAGATAATGAGAGTGTTGTGATTATCATCTCCTTCTATAACAAGATATTGCAGCCGTAAATTACCAAACAACTGGTTAGAATCAATATATGTAACTATTCCCAAAAACAGGAATGCCAGACAGTGTGGCGACTATCGACTTATCAGTTTAATAAGTGACATGCTCAAATTTTTTATAAAAATATTGAATTTTCGCATATATAATCTTTTTAAGGGGATAGCGTAATAAGTAGTTTGATTTCCGAAACGTTATGTGTAGTGGACAAGCTCTATTTTGCATGCAAATACTCTTACAAGAGAGCATTGAATTTAAAAAAAAATATTTACGTATGTTTTATTGATTTTAAAAAGCCTTTTGGTAGAGTACCATACACATTTTAATATGAAAATATTGTACTTACTCTTCCGCAGTCATATTTTCCGGATACTGTATAAATTTATTGTATGCCTGTGTAAAATTATAAACTCTTTGTCGAGCTTTGGTTTCGGAACATATGGTTATTGCTGGAAAAGGAACTTGCCATACTGGAGTGGGACTTCTAGCGAAGCTTACCAGAACTGGAGACTGGTCCCACTTTAGCCATGTTTTTATTATCAAATCCACGCACACATACAGTGAGATACAGAAAAGTATTACCCACCAGAACCTGAAAAGTAAATGTGAACAGAACAGACAAACAACAAAATGAAATACAAGAATTTTATACCGCAATATTAATCATTATAAAGCGCTTTAAGAATTGTTACCTCAACCTTTTACTAGGTGACTTTAATGCAAAAATAGGCAAAAAAGTAACCAATATCACAATAACATAGAATAATAATAAAGCTATAGAATCCATTTACCTTTCACAGGTGGTTCTTTCCTGCTCTCCCATATACTTAAATCCATGGATACCCGTATTACCAGTGAATTCTTGAAAATAATCGTATAAATTCTTACGAAATCCAGGAAACTTTCTTTTTGATTTCCTCATTGCTTTAAGGAGCTCCTTTTCTTTTTGTACTTCTTGTTCTTTTTGCTGAGCTGCGTTTTCCGCATCGGTACCATTGGCTTCGTTCGCGTGAACTGTCATGATCTTTTTATGACGAAGATATAAAATAAAACAGTTAAAACGTTGCTAGGAGGCAAATTTTCAACTAAAATATGTTGGCATTTAATATAACTTTCAAAATATTTAAAATAAATAATTTAATTATTAATTTAATTAATCTTTAGATATTTTATATTATTCGATTAATATTTTGTAATAAGTATAATGTGGAACAACGAAAGATGAATGATTCAAAATCCGTAAACTAATTTTCGAAACCAAATTCAGATTTTTGCTTAAATCTGTGTCTTTTAAGAATTGCAAGGCAAAACAGACGTTGATAAAGATGTTACATATGAAATTTTAAAAAATATTAATTTTTTTTTTATTTTCACAATGTTGTTTGCTACATTTCTTGCTTTTTTCCAAGTTTTATTTGTATATTGTATTTAACTCCTATGGACGGCGATATATATAACTCGACCAAGCGTCATTTCATTAAAATCGAGATTATAGAGAATTCTGGTGGGAAATAGCTAAAATTATCTTGGAAAAAATTCCTGTTATTGTCACGCTAATGGTCGCTAAAAAAAACAATATTAAACCAAGCGACATTCTGTCTATGAAGGGTTTTTTGTTTGGCATAACAAGACTATATTCGGAACTGCCGTTCTTATTTTTGCAATAGTACACTAAGCGACTTTATTGGTCTTTGGTCTATAGTCGGACAATTTTTAATTAAAGGTGACTAATCTACAAATTGAATAGACGGTAGCGGCAACCATGTAAAATTTCAGCAGTAAATTCTTACAGGGGTCATTTTTATTGTGTATGCTTCGCCCTTATAAATAAAGATGTAGGCGAAGCATACACA